ATGGTTTTAGATGTATTGAGGATTAGGTTGTTGTCCTCACACCACCTCACCAGCTGTTCTACTTCACTCTGGTAAACAGATTCATCACCATTAGAGATAAGACCTACTACAGTGGTATCATCTGCAAATATCGGTGTCAGCCCCAAACATCCCATCTCAGTTGACCCTAGATTTATGTGCGTCATTGGGTTAAACTGTTGGTTGTTGTTAGCCCCACTGGGCCGCCCTTACGGTGGAGCGTAACATGTATTCACCTCCTTTACTCAGGATAACAATGCTGGCTTTTCTAATTAGTTTTCTCCAGATCTCATGAATCAACTCAATAGCGTTGTTGGGGCACCAGTGGCCTGGTTGCTGATGCATGCACCCCTTGTACAGAGGTCGTGGCCCTCGAGGCGGGCGGCCCTGTTTCTAACCCAACCTGTGGCTCCTTTCCCAAAACCTCTTCCCCACTCTCTCTCTCTGATTTTTGACTATGTCAGCTGTCCTGTCTTTAAATATTTTTTATTGCAAATAAACAAGAAAAATAAGTCAAGATTAAGATCTGGAGAAAACACATACATTTTGTTTTTTTATCACCTGAAGATTTTTTTAATGAAAAGTTAGGATGCATGTCCTCTTTGGGCTTCCGTAGAAAAGCAGGTTTTAGAGAGCTATAAAGATTGTTCCTTCAAATCTTTGTGCTTTTGAATCATTTCTTTATCAACTCTGCTGCAGAGACGTAAAAGTTGAAATGTTTAGTTTTAAGCCTGCAGCTCCACATCATATCAGAGAACATTTAGGGTATGTAGGCTTGGTGCCTGCACGTGGTGTTTATTGGTAAGCGATCATTTATTCAGGAATGCTTGGCATCAATATCTAATTTTCTGTACGTTAATGATTGCAAGAAAAGAAGGCACACTGAGTTTTCCATTAAGAGCAATCTGTGAATGTTTGACTCGTCTGTTTGTTCTCAGGGCGTGAGCGCTTACTGCACTTTGTATCTGCTTTTAAAATATCTCAATTTACACCCTCTCTGCTACGGTGGCCCTGAAGGTCAACTGCAAAAACACTTTTACAAAACATTTTGGGCTTCCAGAGGCCAGCCGTTAGTTTGCGCTCCCCATGTACCGACGCTACAGTCCTTAAAGCCGTCAGCCCGGGTTCGAATCCGACATGTGGCTCCTTTCCTGCATGTCATTCCCCACTCTCTCTCTCTCTCTCCCTGATTGCAGACGCTATCCACTGTCCTGTCGCTCTAATAAAGCCATAAAAAGCCATAAATATAAAAAATCATCTTTAATGAAACACAAAAAGATCTTCAAAAAATGTGAAAATATCCAATGAAATCCAAAATATGTTGCGAAAAAGGAAAAACATTTGGTGCGGCTGTGGCTGTGGGTAGAGTCGGTCGTCTCTCAACCAGATGGTCGAGGGTTCGATCCCCGAATAGTCTCTGGGATTTGATGCAAACAAACATGCAAAGTTGTTCGTTTCTAAAATAATTACCCGTCCAGATGATCGAAGAAGAGAGGAGATGAAACATTTGCAAAACACCTTAAGTTTTTAATTTAGATCTTTGGAGGATATCGGAGCTAGAAGAGTAAATATATTTAGTTTGATATTAGGAGTAAATGTATCTCTGAATACATTCAGTTTACTATCCAATGAAACCAAAACATCCAGAAAAAAGAGCACTTGTTATTTTGTGAGTATCACCATCACAAATTGCTGCATATGAACTTAGAGAGTGGTGATGATGGCGGTGATAACAGAGATACTGGGCGCTTTAATAATTGATGCTTAATAAGGTCTCATGGGAGACATGCTTGTTATTCCTTAACCCTCTGAGCGAGCCGGGCTGAAGCACAGATTACAAACAGTCCCATTTTGAAAGAGAAATAAACATATAAATAAATCACGTGGATGAATAATGGATCGTGCAGAGGGAGTGTGAGAGGAGGAGGGCTTGATTTTTGTGCTCTTGTGTACGTAAAAACTACAATCTCATTGCTTTTTTATTCCTCTTTTTTCTCTGTTTTTGTCAAAACTACCGATATCACACACACTCTGCAGAGAAGCAGCCCACTCCGAGCTCGTGTGTCAGCTCACCCCTCGCTCCCGCTCAGATAGATTTACAACCGGGTGGCGTCAGAGGAGCCGTAAACTAAACATCATTGACAGAGGGAATAAAGCAAACACCTTTCAAAGCAAACTTTACTACTGTCAGCGTAGATGAGCACTTAACCTTTGAGAGGTCTGGACTAAAAAACATGTATAACTGACAGCCGACCATCTGACGTCAGCACCACAACGTTGCTATGACGGAAAATACAGATACTATAGGAGCCTTTAAACATTTGAATCCCAACATATGGAGGACTTTATTCCTTTTTTTCCACCAAATGCTAATTCTCCATCAGAGTCCATCAGTGTTAACTCATCCATTCATACACCACCAACAAAGCAGCGGGAGCAACTTGGGGTTAAGTGTCTTGCCCAAGGACACATCAGACACGAGGATGCAGGTGCTGGGGATTGAACCCTCGACCACCTGGTTGAGAGACGACCGACTCTACCCACTGAGCCACAGCTTCACCAAATGTTTCCCCTTTTTCGCAAAATATTTTGGATTTCATTGGATATTTTCAAATTTTGCTCTGGAGGAATCCTTTGTTTACATCTCTTTTTTAGTGGATTGGTGGTCCTTCTTTCTAACGTGTCGTTTCTTGTTTGTTATTTGTGTGTCATGATGGACGTCATCATCTCGCTGGCTTCAAAACAAATCTTCCTTCGGGACAACGTAAGTCACCTGAACCTGATCCTGATCTCTTCTATCAACGCTTACGGTCCGTTCAAATCGCTTTGATCAGTTTTATTGCTGGAAACAAGGGATTGTCAAACAGACAGACTGATACGTTCACATGTGCAGAAAACTAATGAAAACTTCCAGACGTTTTCTGGGTCAGCTGCATGTGTGAACGCAACGCAAAGAGTCAGATTTTATCAGGACTTTCTCCTTCCAGCCCTCCAAGAAATGTTTCCTAATGACATCAGAGTGAGCTGATGTGAGAACGCAGCAGGATGTAATCAGGAAAATTCACCTCGAGCCAATAGGAGGGGACATGAGGTTTTTCCCCTGTGATTGGTGCACGACCATAGACTGTCTGCACGCCACCGCTACGATCTCAGTGGGGATTTAAAGCACAGCTCCCCAAAAGTGAAGCAAAAACATGTGGATCACCTCTGAGTAACTGACAGTTTACAGGTAATTATAGGTAATAAGACCCGCCTCCTCCATGTTAACAGATGGGACAAACAAAAAAAGCAGAATATGCTTAAATGTATTCTTCCTTTAGTTTTGTTTCTGTCATATTGTTATTTCTAATCTTTCTGATTTATGTCCAAATCTGAATTTTTCCAGGAAGTGTAGTTTTAATTTGTTATTTGATGCTATAAAAAGCAGAATAACGCCATGATTGACAACTTTGTTGACATATGCGGCACTGTGTGCACCAGAATATCAGAGTAGAGGAGGAACAGTGAGAGGAAGAATCTGTTCTGCTGTGGACTGAACCCACATGAGCAAGCTTTGATGTTTTATTAGTCAGTATAATGTGCGTTTCGTTTAGAGGAAGAGGCGGGAAGTGGAAACCACAGCTTCACCAGCTAATCTTGACTGCATAGATTTGTGCTCCAGATATCGATGCCACCTGCGTGAGATGGAAGCGATATTATAGTTTCACTTTACTCCAGATAGAGGAGGTGATGTGTTGTTCATTTTAAAGGAGATCCAAAAAACACACTTTAACCATTAATGATGTCAGTGTGGGACTCCTGTTGAGCAGCACTGTGAGATGTGCAGCTAAAAAAACCTCCTAAATTATCTGATTCTGGCATCAGTAAAATCCCTCATTTCAGCCTCTGAAACGCTTCACTTCAGCTACTGTCTCTTTAAGGCCCCCCCTCCCTAACATGCCCACTCTCCTCTGATTGGCCTGCTCTGTTTGTAGTCTCAGGGAAATTTGAGTGAGCTTCCGGGTGGGCGTGTCCTACAACTTTACTCCATGCTTTGCTCTGATACGTCTGATTCTGGACCAAGTCTCATCAAGTTCTCGTAAAGTCTCAGAGCAGCAGGAAACCACGTCCAGGGATTACCCCAACAACTGAGTATCTTGACATCATATATATGCATGTATGCATTTAAATATGGAGCAGGATATATCTCCTTTAACATACAATCAAAAGGTTCTTTACCAACTTTCTAACCCACCAGAGAAACACTCAGCAACATTCAGGTTACTAAAAAAGCTTTCCTTTCCAATATTATTGTCACCAAAGTTTAGTTTGTAGTTGCAACATTGCAGAATAATTTCTAAAATTGGAGACCAATACCTGACGTCTGTGTTTCGGTACAATATTGCCACACAAGATATAACAACACTATGCTTGACCAATCCCCCCTCCAACCCTAATATCGCCCCTCCACCCTTAATAACGTCCTCTCTAACCGCTTCAGAGCTCGGCTTGAACTCCTGAGGATAAAAACAGCATCTAAAATTCATCTTGAAGCCACAGTCTCCAATCTCTGACGCTCGCTGCTTTAACGCTTCCCGTTTCATGTTACATCCCTCTATGATATAATTTCCCCCCCACTACTCAGCCTGCTCCAGGATTCAATATCCTATGCCCAAATGGTACATAATTCAACCGCGGCTGAATAATTCATTGAAACACTGCAGCCACTGAAAGATAATTAAAGAAGCGGGCAGTGTAATTCACGAGGAGGATCGTAAATGATGGTACATGTGATGGAGGAAGATGGAGGTTTATTTCCAGGGCCTTTTAAAATAGATGCATGAGTAAGAAATCTCAAGTACTGTACAATAAATTAAAACACACACCGTATGCTCTTGCAGCTTGAGCAGTGGTTAGATAAAACCAGTGCCCTTATTGAAACTACGTCCTACACTTCTTTTTTTTTTTTTTTTTTTTTTTTTGCACATTGACCACAGACTCACCTACTTCCTGCCTCGTGCTGCACACCCCGACCCCGTACTGCTGGGTTTTGTCTACAACAGTTTTCAGGAAATCAGCGTTGTTCTCAGCGAAGCCGAGGTAGTTGTAAGAGCCCATGTTGATGACATCGTGTAACGTCTTCCCCGTTAACCTGCAGCCAGGAAAAAAAAATAAAATCAAGAAGAATCACGTTTATATTCTATTCGACGCACAGAACTGATTACTGACGATAAAAAGTAATCAACATTTAATGAACTGTAATTGGAAAACACAAACTTGCTGCTCCGTCGGGGGACTTCTGTTCATGAGAGGCAATTAGAGCCATGTTTATTTGAGGTAAACAGAAGTGACTGCGTGCGTAAGCAACACTAGTTTTTTTTGTTTTCTTGACTTTTTTAAGTGTATCATCAAATATTTACACCTTCTTCAAGAGATCGTGCTCTCTTGGTATATGTGAGTGCACATGTAATCCCACGAAGAATCATGGGAGCAGATTCTTCCTGCCGCCGCTGACCTCACTCTAAAAAACTGACAGACAGGTCAGCTGACAGGTCAGATGTTCACCTCCAAACAAACAGAAGAAAAAATATCATTCAAGTTCATGCGTCCACCGACGAGCTAAACAAACTAAATTGTGTTTGAGGCCTGAGTGTCGTCCCCCGTCTGTTCCTGCAGGGGGCGCTGGAGTCCCATTGATGGTGGTCTCCATGCTGGAAATGCTGTCTCAGTCTAACTTTCAGTCAACCTAACGACAGGCTGAGAGCTGGAGCTGAGGCGGGTTTTAAACCTCCTGACAAACCGTTACACCGCGCCCACCTGTCAATCAGGTCAGCTACACGCCTTATTGTGAATAACTCTTATCCTTCATCAAATCAAAACTGATGAGTCATCAAAACATTCACCCCCCGTACAGTGTGTGTCCATCCAGACATGAGCTAATCACACCTATTTGGTTTTTTGAACCAGGCTGTAAACATGTTCATCTCTGCTCTAGGGGTGACTGGATGTTTGCCATTTCTGGTATAGAGACGTAATAAACACATGCATGTCTTTATCTATAAATCCCTTATTGGACGTACACCATTTTATGTAACATCCCTACTGAACCGGACCATCGGACCCGACCAAACTCGCTCTACTGACCGTCTTTTGCTTTAAGTCCCGCAGGTTTTCTCTGAACTTAGAATTTAGCATTTAGCTTTTTAGCTCTAAAAATGTGGAATTATTTACAACACACTCTCAGGATCGACAATCTTGTTTCTCTTGGACAAATTAAGACAATAATCTGAAAACACTTGACTCCACTGTGCGATTGTTTTCACTGAGAATCATCCTCTCTTCGTTGTTTGATTTGAGCCTCATCTGTTTTTAATAACAACAACGTTACTGTACCTAAATGTCCAGTTGTAGTCATCGGACACCCTCTCCATCAGGTCGAACACGGGTCCGGGGAGGCTGCAGACGGGGCGGTTCCAGTTGTCTCGTACCCTCATGTAAAGGTTACGCGTGTAAAAGTTCTCAAAGTCCTGATACATTGGAACAAAATCCTGTGAACCGAGAAACATTTCAGTCAGACGACTCACGTTTGTATTTGTTTAAAATTTTAGCAGGAGAAAATAGTTTGTATTTGGCGCCCATGCTCCGAACTCATCACTCCATGCAGTATTATTTTAACCCTCCACCCCCCATTAGGAGCCTACAGGGGGATGCTGGGCTGAGCAAGAGTGCAGAAGTTGCTCAGGTGAGAGCTGGCAATAAAAGAGCAGAGAGGGAGAAAGTGGAGATCTTGCAAGCTCTCTTTGCAACATTGGCATCTTAATTTGGCCTCTTTTCCATCGACACCTCTTTTTCTTTTTTCAAATATGCACATGAACACCACAATGGCTATAGCAAGTACCTCATCGCACAGTGTGCATGCATGTCGTACCAACATTATGAGATCTGTGTCGCTCAGTGTGGCTGCACTAAACATAGATTGCAAAAATTGTCTGTAGGAGACGTTAAACTCCTAATAATTCTCCTGTAACTGTAAAAAAAACACCTAGGTCTACACAATGGAATTTAATCACACTGTTTGTTTTCATTGCGATTCATTACAATTATTTCACAATGATCCCTTGACTATAGCATTCTCTGCCATTATGAGCCTCCCTTGTTCGATCCATTGCAACAGAGGCCACATAGAGTAAAGCTCTACCTCACTTTATTTCAACACAGACAGAAAACTGCCTTCCTATTAGTCTAAACGGCTCCAGTGTTAGCTAATCAAATAAGTGACAACAGAGAGAGGGAACTTTAACTGTTATTTTCTAATATGAGCCACACAAGACAAATCTTGAACTACTAACAGCTCATTTGGGTTTAAAAAAATCGAATCCATGGTTAAAATAACTGCTCTTATGTGGAAGCGCTTCTTATCTAGAATCTAAAGCACAGTTACAAAGAGAGAATTGCATCCTCTGAGATTTAATTAGGTCTTCAGGAGAAATGTTCTGTGGTGTACTGTCTCACCCATGGCAACGTTAGTGCAGAGGAACATGAAGGATGAAGGCAGAGAGAGAGAGAGAGAGCTTAGAGTGAGAGCAAAAAGGAAAAAAATTCTGGGGGAACAAAATGTGTTGACACCCAAGGCATGTATGCTGCAACTGTCCGGTGCATGTGTGTTAGCAGGATGTGTGTGTGTATGCTTCTGTCTTTATGTTGATTGCATGCTTTACCTACCTTCTGTTCCTCTCTTTCCTGGGCAAGGTGGCACTTCTCTAAGCCCACAGCTCTGAGGAAGTCTCGGAAGTAGCCAAACAGTGTAACAATGCCAAAGCCCACGTATGTCATGACAGCCACGTAGATGGGCGCCTGTTCAAAGGACTCCTGTCTGCGTTGCCCGGAGGCGACACTGGTCCCCGGGACATTTTTCTGTACAAAAAGAGCCCCACATAAGCTGTCTTACATGGCAGAATAGACAAGAGGGAACAATGCTGTTTGGATAAACGTGGCTCTTATTCAAAATAAGTGCACACACAAAAAACACAGCAATTAACCTACATTCAGAGGATATGCATGATGGCCTACAGGTGCAGCCATAGAAGGTACTCACATAGTTCAGTAATGCGTAGTTCATGTAATAATTCATGTCCCATAAAATAATGGACTTAAAAAGAAAACATCCACCCATTCATTATCTACTGTCTCTCCCATTCAGGGTTGCATGCAGGGGGTAGAAGTAGATCCCAGATGTCACTGGGCAAGAGGCGAGACCTTCTCCTGAATCAAGAAGTGACCTAAAAAGAGCTATGTGGAAGTCAACGCAACAGACTCCGCTATGCGACACTAGAATGAGAATATTTGCCTTTATATCAATGCTATGTGTAGTTCAACAGAATCACAACATGAACTAAAAATCGTAAACAAACATACAGTTGACTCTGACTTTCTGTGGGAAAAATGCTACGAAGGTGGCAGGAGAAACTTCGGATAATGTCCACTGTTTGCGTTTATACAGCTGACATGAGTTTTTCATGAGTTTTGTGGAGATGTGAATACACTAAAACACACAATTTGACAATTAATCTAACAACATAAATCTAATAAACATATTTCACCAGATAATGTTACACCCTGGACTGGTACTCACTCTTGGAGTCAATCACAGAACTGACATATAGAGACAGACAACCATTCACACTCACATTTAGAGTCGCCAATGAACCTATATATTCTTTTAAATAAAATAGATGAACAAACAAAAAAAAACAACAACAACAAATATATTCAGTCATTTCATTTGTAAGGTCATTTTTTAGAAGGTAATTTTAAATATATCTTTGGCTCAGTAGGATTTAAGTAACATAAAATAGAGTTTAGAGGCGGCCGGATATAAAACGATCACATCCGGAAAAAGCCAGAGATATATGTTTGGTATAATCTTGAACAGCACAAATGATGAACTCTGCATTAATGTGATTCTGTGTCTAGCAAAATTCTATATACACAAAAATAGATTTTTAAAGTCATCCCCCAATTTTGTGTGTTTTTTGAATGAATTTAAATTGTACCTCAAGTCCTTAAAATTTGTAAAAGAAAAATAGCACCAACAGTTTATGATATTTTGAAGAAACTTTCCCAATGAATTAGAAACTGAAAACTGATATGCCCAGGTATATTTGATTCATTGTTTATCTTATTATTATTATTATTTATTCTTATATTCAGTCCAGACCTCATTAACTGCACTTTAAGACATTATCATTTCATTTCTACATGTTAAAATGATGAACTGTTAATTATTAACATGACAGTCTGTGCAGAATGTAACCATATTTTATATTTGTTTTTTTACATTTGTACATTTGCAAGAAATGTTTAAGAAATGTTTAATAAAATAAATGAAATTTGTCTTCACTCAGTTACTGCAGATATTACTGTTGCTTTCACCTGACCGAACAAACACAAGCAGCTCATGTCAGGTTTACCCTAGCTTAGCATAGCCTAGCCTAGCCTAGCCTAGCTTAGCATAGCCTAGCTTAGCATAGCCTATCTTAGCTCATGATTTGTTTTACGTCACTTTCGGCCGCCATTTGTTTGTGTTCAGGACTAAAGATTTAATCAAATAAAAATCCATGAAGATTGTGGAAATACCTTTAAACAGCGGTAAGTGTTAACAGTTAGCCTTTTTAACGTTTATCTGTATTTTATCTTTAGTGACGTTTTGATTGGCTGTCAGTGCGGAAGAAGAGTTACGATCAAAGGCTGAATATTAAATATAGAGACAATAGAGGAAACTAATGTTCATACAGCAGGCTGATGAGTATTTAAATAGCATTACAATAATGGATAAAACGGCGATGCTGCAGTTTTAATCCTACATTAAGTAATAAGGAAATGATTTGATACAGAATAAAAAAAGATAATTCCAGAAACACATGTGAACTTTAGTTAATATAACAGAGTTCAAACAGACCGTTAAACAGGCTGCAACACTCCGCTGGGAGCCAAAGAAAACCTGCTTTTGTAGAGAGCAAGAAAGTCAGGGCGGGGTCGTAAGTGCATTTATTTCTGTTTGCAATGTCCTTTTGTGTGTTTTTAGAGTAACTCACCAACCACTTGTTAACACAACAACAGCCGGTGCAACTATAGAGACCGACAGAGCTGCAGGAGGAGGAACAGGCTTCATGTAAAACTCAATGTCGTTTACGTGCATTCTGCCCAAGACTGCGTAACTAACTTCTTATAAAGATATATTCAGTCCTGCCGGCTCTAATAAAGCCAACACGACCACCCTGAGAGCGTCCGTGCGTAAGAGTCTGCTTACGTCACTGAGGTGAGGTTTCAGGATGTGAGCCCCCCCAAACATTATGCTGCTACAGCTGCACAGATTGAAGAGTCGCAGGTGCACACACAGGAGACTGTCGCACTAACTTAATGTTGTAGCCTGAATGAAAGCCAGCCGTAGACACACTCACCTCTCTCTTGTTGTGGTAACCGTTTATCTTGATGCTCTCGTATTTCAGTCCATTGTGGCTCAGGTGTGTCTTTAAGTTTCCGTTCGCCGCAGTTATAGCCATGTTCCTGAAAGCAGCAGCAGCAGCAGCAAGCAGCGACTGTCTCCTCTGACTGTCAGCTGACACAACTCGCTGAGGGCTTTACTCAACTTGGAAAGGTAACTTCCTCTTTCTTGTTGTCGGTTCAGCCTCCTGCGCTGTGTTTACTCCACCTCAGTTTCGACTTGTGTGGAAATGTGACACCTCTCTGTTCCCCTTTAAACTGAAATTAAACTTATAGGCAATCTGGAAAACGTCCACTTTACTAATTTCAACCCTCTATTTTGAGTGTAAAACAGTAATTGTCCTATGAAATGACTTTATTTAAAGGTGTTCTCACATGTAAACAACATAGTAAGAAAATTACAATAAAAAAAACAACAACTGATAGTTAAAAGAAAATCACAGAATAAAAGCTTTTTTAGAAAAATAAAACAAGGGGCTGACTCTGCAGGTCTGGTCTCCTCTGACAGCAAAGACCTGTCCCCCTTTGGTTTTCAGTCTGGACCTTGGAAGAGCCAGCAGAACCTTCAGAGGATCTCAGACTGTGTCCCGGTTCATAAAGGGTTAAAAGACCTTTAAGGAAATAAGTGGTTAATGATGACTGAGTACTATAATTTAGTATTTAATTGATCTAATGCTTTAATAAAAAATAATAGCGCTCTGAGAAGTCAGAAGTCTAGACAATAACTTAACAAGCTCAAGTTCATTTACTGTTTACCAAGCCCAACCGGCCGATATATCTGTATTGGATTTTCTCTCTCCCTAATATCGGTTTTGGCCCGAAATATAATCTATAAAAATAAGAGTAAGAGCTCATCTTCTTCTTCTTTTGATACAAACATTTAGTAAAAAACATATGAACAACTACAGTTACTTCTGACTGTGTTGACAGTCAAAGCTTGTCAGTTTGAATTAAGAAGGTTAACATGATTCATTACCTGACTCATAATGCAGCTGCTTTGTCTTCAGATCCGTTATCATTGTTGTGTGATTAAGTATGATTAGTCTTGTGGGAATGTTTTAAAGGTCACATATCCTCCTCCCTTCAACCGGTATAAATAAGTGTCAGAGCTCCTCAAAACATGTGTGTGAAGTTTCTTGTTCTAAATCCACTCTGATCCTGTATTTGATCATGTTATTAACTATTAACTATTAACCCCTCTATTTCAGCCCTGCTCAGAACAGGCTGTTTCTGTGTCTGTACCTTTAAATATGGAAATGAGCTGTGTCTGACCACGCCCCCTCTCTGGAAGGACTTGGGTGTCTCGGTGCTTTCTCGCTCCTTGTCCTATTGTTTACGGTGAGAAGGCAGACTCAGAGGGCAGAACAAACACCTAGCTGTGGGAGTGTCACCCACCTGGGGGAGGGGCTACTGCCCTTTGTGATGTCATGAAGGGAACATCTCCAAACGGCCTGTTTGAGCACACATTTTCTGAAAAGTGGAGCAGGCAGAAGACGGAGAGGATGGACTTTTCTCATCATTGGGGGTTTGAAGACAGACTAGAGACACATATAAGGAGGCCATTTCTTGATGAACCATTGCGGATATCACCAGTAAAATCTTTATAATTTGCACATAAACAATGACATCATGTGGAAAAGTTTGCACGGCGCCTTATGTGATGACATATTGATTTGTTTTGTTAATTTATTGAAGGTTCAAGACATTTTAGTTGGACATGAAGTTGCAAATATTGCTATAATGATGCATATTTTAGACATGTAATGTGTTATTTTTTGTCTCTTTCTGTCACAGAACTTGTCTCCATGCAGTCAGAGGTCATAACTAAAGGATCAGTCTGGTTCCAGGACCCCTCAGCACCCCTCATGACCCCTCGGTGTGGGGCTTGAACTCACTGCCCGCGGTGCTGCACTGCTGTCTAAAAAAAGCTGTAAGTAATAAGAACATTTTATTGACCGCATGCAGCCAAAGAGAGTACACTTCAGGTTCCATCTTAAAGCAGTATTGGGCAACAATCCAGCTTGGTGTAATGATAAACTTTATACGCCCTGCGGCTAGCGGCGCTTTGTTTTTTAAGAGCAGGAAATAGAACTTTTATGTGCAGTTAGCAGTTAGGCGTTTAAAGTTGATCATTGACTTTAGGTGTCATAAATCAGACTCACTGTTTGAGACAGAGGTCAAATTAAATTACCATGTAATTCAGTATATCAGTATCAACATGATTGTGTATGCAGGCTGTTGACGCTTCACTGTCCGCCTGCGTTTTTTGAGATCTCGCCTTCCACACAAACACAGAGAGACGGTTTGTTAGCAAAAGGTCAACGCCCACACATTGGTATGTTGCTGCACTTAGTTTGTGGGTGCACAGTCAATACGGCTATGCAGGGTAGTGTGACAGTGAGTTTAATGAAGGGTTTTTTCTTTCTCTTTACATATTGACATGTTGCTTGTCTGTGTGTGTGTGTGTGTGTGTGTGTGTGTGTGTGTGTGTGTGTGTGTGTGTGTGTGTGTGTGTGTGTGTGTGTGTGTGTGTGTGGGCGCGTTCACAAACACAACATGAGTCGCACACGGTGTAAGTCTGAATGCTGAGAAGAATTTAGAGTTAGGAATGCAAATACGTGTCTGAACATCAAGCAGTGACATTAAGAAATTCTTTGAATGACGGTGTCTGTTATTCACACTGTAGTTACTTTCTGTTAGACTATTCTTCTGCTGTGTTTGGACAGGGAGGCTTTTGCTGCGTTCCATTTACCTCAGAACTCAGAACTGGGAATGACGTCACACCCGAGTTAACTGGGTTCCAGTTAACACTACGTTTCTGTGATGACAACACCTCCACAGAGAGAACTTGCACGATACCATCGGTGTGATTGATTTCATTACACAAAAAGACGACTAAGCTGTGACAGCTTAAACATCCCTGTCGATGCACGTAGCAGCCATATTGGATTTGAACTCGGTCTACTGAAGATTCTCAGAGTATCCGAGTCGGAATTCCGACTTCAGGGTGGCGTTCCTGATGACGTATCAGACCGGCAACTCTGAATTTCCAGCTTCCGCGATCAAATGGAACGCACCATATGTGTTTAAAGAAATGCATTATGGGACATTTTACAGCCTGTCTGATGTAATTTGAGGACTCTTGGTTGGAGACATCTGCTGTCCTCTCCTGACCTACAACAATCAGAAATGGTGCGTTCTCTCTGACGGATGTCCGCTGGTTTTAAATCTTCATTTGAGTTGCAAAGCTGGTCGTCCTTCAGTGACTGCACCTTGTAATGTTTGGACTGAAAACACTCCGACCCTGTGGGATGATGCGTGTCAGTCGGCATCACTTTCCAGCTGCCCTCACTTCTCGCTAACTGATGAGGGTTGGTGTTGTCTAATAACTCCAGACCTTTGTCAGCGAGGGATGAGGAGAGGGATGCTGGCTGACACTTGCATGTGTGTAAACGAGGAGTGCTGACAGAGGAGAGCTGGGAGATCATGGGTATTGAAGTTTGAGTGAAGTAGAGGGAAAAGGATATATTGGGAATCCGGATTAGTCAGGCTGCATCCGACTGTTACAGAGAGAGTGATTGAACGGAGGGTAGCATGCAGCCATCTTAGTAAATTAAAGGTATCCGCTGTGCTCACCTCGTTTAGCTTTGCTCGGAGACCTGAATGGAGCTGTCACAGCGCCTGGCGCCTCCCCGCCTTCACTGCGGGATTGCTTTCTACCAGTGGGACCAGATGTAACCTACATCTGTCAGGCTTCATTAGCCGTGTCAGTCTGGATTGCACTGTTCAATTTGACTTACCACAAATGTTTTGTTTTGCTAATCCTCATTTGGTTTGCACATTTCTGCAATTATGTTTTGCAATCTGAAGTTTTTTAGCTTTGACCTTTGAGTAAAACTTTGTATTGCAGTAAAAATGTGGTTGTGAATTCAACTGGAGTTGATCAGTCTTTAAGGAGGACTCACAAAATAAGGTTTTATCTCTGCAGGGAAATTCTGTATTTTACACTTCAGCAGATCTCACTTGTGTTTTTTCAGCTCAGGCTTCATTTCTTTGCATCCTGTTTGATATCGATGATCGATGTTTGATATCCCTACCAGGATTAATTCAAGCATTTCTCACCCTTTCTTCTTTTCTTTACTTTTAAAGACATTCAGCAGATTCCTTCAAAATAAAATACAGTCTTCTCCTAAAGTGAAGCTGCTCCATCGTCCCTTCTGGGCCTCCATACATGTGTGTTGGTGACTGTGTCTGCAGAGACTCTGTCCTCTACTCCTCTACTCCACCTTTAAGATTATTAGATGCAGTTTTAACCTTTTAAAGATTTTATTTTTGGGGCTTTTTGTGCCTTTATTGGAGAGATAGGGCAGCGAATAGAGTCAGGAACCAGGTAGCAAGAGAGAGGGTAATGACATGCAGGAAAGGAGCCACAGGTCGGATTTAAACCCGGGCCGCCCGCTTCGAGGACTACAGCCTCTGTACATGTGGCGCGCACCCTGACCACTCGGCCAACAGCGCCTCAATATTTTCTTTGTAAGATGTGATGAAGTAAATTATTTAAAAGCCTCCATGAAAGAGATTTCTCTACGTTGAATACAGACGGATGGTGAAATAGTCTATAAGGGGAATAAGCTGCCAGCAGAAGCAGCACACTGTGGGACGTCTCCATCTACAGTTCTTTCATGTGAAAGTCATGTTAAATGGCTTTCCTGATAATGAATACTAATCCATGTTTGATCTTCTTGCATGTTTTTAATAGATTTATATCCACAGTGTTGCTAACCCAGATTCTGAATTTATGATCTAAATTAATTTATTTCAGTGTTTGAATGTTTATTTAATTAAATGCAGGGTTGTAAAACACTTTGTGGAGTGCTCACATAAATATCAGGTTTGTGCAGGGTAAAGCCTACAGGAGATATGGGTTCACCCTCCACCTGGTGGTAGAGTAGGGAAAAGCAGCTCAACCTGCAGTCACACACATCTTCTCCAACCCGTCTGATGTGATCCTCTCAGCGACATGTTTGATTATAAGCAAATACATTTGCATGAGCAGATGTAGGTGCTCCCTGTAAGACTTGTCCTTAGACCTGAACCCATCCAGGAGAAAGTCTTCATTGTTTACAGATGGACTCGTGTTATTAGAGGCCGGATGTAATGCAGAGCTATATTTAAACTCCCCCCAGGGCGCCATTAAATCATGTAATTTCTTCGTCAGGCCTGGTTGACCTCATTTTAATACCCACATCAAGACGGCAGCAAGAAAAAGAAAAAAGAAGAGATGTTGAATTAGGTGTCTACTGTGCAATCAAACATTTACATTTAATATTGGAGCACCGTCTCACTGATGCATGCATGGATGTTAGCAGAGAAAGACGTTGATATTAAATGTTGTGGTTGTTTTGTTTGCTGTCAGGAGGGAGAGCTGAACACGGCTATGTATAGTTCTGCAAGGCGCTGAATATATTTGGACCACAAGAGAAAAGATAAAAGGTTGATGCATAAAATGGCGGCATTGTTGTTCCTTTTCTTTTTTTTTTTCTTCGCTGGGGATAAAAATATGGGATGCGTTTGTCCCTCAGCTAAATATGGAATGAATCTCCGACTGTGTTTCTCTGTTGTATCTCAGGGAGAGAGGGAACACACCGAAACATCACTTTGTATTTGAACCCTATAAAATTCAATTAAGCTTAAGTTATTTAAGCAGATTAAGTTTGAGTTTCACAGCACTGGCTTTTAACGCGGCGGACTGCACACATATCTTCAATTAGTGCAGTATGACAGCAGAAACATAGGCCTGTAAGCTCTTGCAGCTGCAGCACTCCTAACCTTGAGTGGGTGTTCACATCCACAGGGGATGGAAGATTCCCCTGTTTTCTTCTGAAGCGAGCGCGGGAGAGAGAGGGGATGGGGGAGGAGAGGGAAGGGGGGGGGCAGACTCAGAGACAGATATTTATAGAGAGAGTGGGAGAAAGTGAGATTGTGGCTTGAAAGGTTAAAATAAGAGGGAGCTGCAGAATGACAGAGAGGAAGAGAATGACAAAGTTGATGGGTGGAAAATAAAGATTTAGAAATGATGCTGCAGTCGACGGCAGAGGCGGGAGCTGTAAGTCTGTCTCTCTGAGGGTCAGGTCGCCACTTTATTGTCTGTAGTGACCCTAATTAAGTCCTGCAGAAACTGTGAATGAGTCACTGAAGGGCTGCAGGAAGTAATCTGTTTAGGATGTCCCTCATCCCCTCGCTGTGTCATCCCCTCCTCAGCACTATAAACATGACTTTGCTGTGCTGGTCATGAGAGAATTTTAAACATTTATGTGCTGCAGAAATAATATAGGTAGCTGAGTTTATTAGCATTGGAGTGAAATGAGCTTTGCAGAAGTGTTATAAATGTTGAATAGCTCATTCATAAGTCAGGATGTGAACTGTGAAAGTCTTAATATTTCCATCTGAGTAGAATTATGTCACTAAGCAGACAGCTAAACCACTAAATCACCTTCTGTGAAGCCAAATTTGCTCAAATCTGTCGTCTTTTCTAATCTGACAAGTGAAGAAACCATTTGTTCCAAACGCTGTGGAATCTATCGGCCTTATGGTGTTGAATTTCTGCAAAGGATCCAGAGTCCCAGTGAGCCCCCCCTCCCCCACCCCCACTGTAATTACAGTTTCCTTTCCATCGGGATGGTCCCAAACAGGCCCACTGAGACTCCGCTCTGAATCTCCTTCATGTCGTCAGTCAGGCATCCAGATAGAGGTAGCCGGACAGCCAGGAGAAGGCAGGGCCTCCTGGAAGCGAGCCTCTCTCCAGGGTGGTTGATATATGATCCGACAGGGGCTGATTTTAACGGATGGTCTCTCCTCCCACACCGCGCCGTTCTGAAGTCATTGTCACGCCGGGAAAATGTGTCCGTGAGGATAGATGGGAGTTTGCCG